TGCTTTCCCTTTCACCTCCCTGCATTGTGCCTACATATGCAAATTAACCGCCATCTTGTTGGCAGTTAACTGTCAATCTTAGTTGGCAGTTAACTGCCAATCTTAGTTGGCAGTTAATTTTCATATAGCCCTGATTAGCCAATGAAAAGGGTATTGGTCGTACGCCAATTACCATTTTTGTTTTTTATTAGATAGGATAAGGCTCCAATAATAATGGATGCAGCAGCAGGACTAGAATATGAGGATTCTCTTAAATTGAGGATAAATAAATGCAGGCAAACTGTTAGAGAAGTATAATTGCTTAATTATATTTATATTGCCTAATCTACCAGTTAGCTTTTGCTGCCTAACAAACCACTCGAAACCTTAGTAGCTTCAAATAATAGCCATTTATTTAGTTCATAATTCTGTAGGTGGGCAGTTTGGGCTGGGCTCAGCTGGTCTAGCTAGGTCAGCTGGGCTGCCTTTCAAGTCTTCAGTCAGCTTCCAGGTTGACTGGGAGCTGACTGGTCGAGGATGGCCTCAATGGGGTGGCTCCTAGCTCTATGTGTCTCTCATCCTTCAGCAGGTTAGTCAGGGCTCCAGCAAAGTGAACATTCATGGCCTCCTGGGGCTTGAGAATAACACAAGGCCATTTCTGCCACATTCTGTTGGCCCAAAGCAAGTCACAGGCCAGTCCAGATTCAAGATGAAAAATAGACTCATCTCTGTTGATATAGACTTGTCTCCCTGGGAAGGAGGCCTTTATGGGAAGACTTACAAAGCCATCTTGCAAAGAGCAGGCATTCTGGGAGGGTGGCGAACTATGGCCATCTCTGCAACCTACAACATCAAGTAAAATGCAAATATTGTGCTGGGAACTACCATTACAATAGAGATTGGGGAAAGGAAACCATTTGCATGATTTATAACAAGAGAAAACGAACTGGATTGAGAAGAGAGAACAAGATGCCAAGATGGACACAGAGTAGAGGATCATGAGGCCCCCCTAGGTTTGAGCGTCCTATTTCACAGTACCCCAAGGAGTGCTCTGATAGTGTCTGGAGCAAGCCTAGTTCTCTGCCCATCAGACCCAAACAGTACTGGTGTTGGGGTTCTTGGGTTCCACAAGATAGAAATTGAGAAAAACCCCCAGAGAAATTCCCAGACAGATTCTATTAAGCTTATGCTTGAGCACTCAGAGGCTTGCTTTGCTTGGCTACTTTTATAAGCTGGGACAAGGTGGGCTTGTGTGGAAAAGCAGGCTTGTGAAAAAGGTGGTCTTGCAAGGGGTTCTGGAGTGGAAATTTCCACGTCAGGATGGGGTGATTTCCTCTGTCCAGTTGCTTGGCAACTGCCTTTGTGCCTGTGGGCTGTGGGAGC